CCGTATAGGCATGTGAACTCATGTGTGATGTATGGGAAGGCCAGAAGTCAGTCTCAGGAGTCATTCTTCACGCAGCATGCACCTTGATTGATCGACTGATTTTTGAAACAGGGTCTCTTAGCGAGACCCAAGGCTCACAGATAAAGCTAGATTGGCTGGTCAGCAACCCCCCCCCCATCTGCCCCTCTCCACCCCCATGAATTAGGATCACAGATATACAGCACTAAGCCTGTTTTTTCATGTGGGTGCTGGGGATCAAACTCAGGTTTTCATGCTTGTCTTACAATCACTTTACCCAGGGAACCATGTTCACAGCTTCACTATATATTTACATAGCATTTACCACAGGCTGAAAAAAATTTTTCCACTGCATTCTCCAGTTGCTTATGTCTGCCAACCAACAGGCTAGCTCATTTTGTGGTGATACAGGACTCTTAAATGGCAGCCTCGGTCGTCCCTTTTAGCCTTCTAGAGTGGGTGCGGGCAGAGCACCTTAGTCTCCCCACATGGGACTGAGGTTGGCAAAGGTCTTCCCCCAGGCTTCCAGCACCCCGTGTAGCACCTGGAGCAGGGCATGTGCTCAGCAAATGTTTGTCAAATAATGTTAATTCTCTACCATGGTTTTTTGCTGCTATGGGGTGTTTTTGTTTCTGTTCTTTTTGAAGGGACCACCACCCAGCTCCCAAATAAATCACACACAGAGGCCTATTCTTTTTTTTTTTTTTTTTTTTTTTTTTTGAGACAGGGTTTCTCTGTGTAGCTTTGCGCCTTTCCTGGGACTCACTTGGTAGCCCAGGCTGGCCTCGAACTCACAGAGATCCGCCTGGCTCTGCCTCCCGAGTGCTGGGATTAAAGGCGTGCGCCACCACCGCCCGGCAAGGCTTATTCTTAATTATGAGTGCCTGGCCTTAGCTTGACTTAGTTTCTTGCCAGCTTTCCTTAATTTAAATTATCCCATCTACCTTTTGCCTCTGGGCTTTCCCATTCTCTTACTCTGTAAATCTTACTCTTACTCAGTGGCTTGCTGTGTAGCCAGGTGGCTGGCCCCTGGAGTCCTCCTCCTCTGGTTGCTAGATCTCCTTCTCCCAGATTTCTCCCTCTATATATTCTCTCTGTCTGCCAGCCCCACCTATCCTTTCTCCTGCCCCATTGACCAGTTCTTTATCAGATCATCAGGTGTTTTAGACAGGCACAGTAACACAGCTTCACAGAGTTAAACAAATGCAACATAAACAAAAGTAACACATCTTAAAACAATATTCTACCACAGTGGGGAAAGAACAAAGAAAAACCAAAACAAGAGGTAACTGGAAAAATAATTTAAAAACAAACAAACAAACAAACAAACAAACAAAAAAGGTCTCCAGCTGGTTTGGCAAATCCTCTTTACAAAGTGAAGAAAATAAGACAATTTTCTAATTCAGTGTGATGGTTAATGTTATCAACTTGACAGGAGCTAAAATCACCATGGAGACAAACCTTTGGGCATGTCTGAGAGGGAAATTAGGGTAATTGAGATGAGAAGATCCAGTCTGGATGTGGGCAGCACATCCCATGGCCCAGGGGTCTGGACTGAATAAAAAGGAGGAAGTGAGCTGAGCTCCAGCATCCACCTCTCTGCTTCCTGACTGTGGTTGCCATGTGACCCGCTGCCTCCTGCCTCCATGCCTTCCCCACCATGGTGGACTGTGCCCTCCGACCATGAGCCAAACAAACCCTTGTGGCCTGAGTTGCTTTTGTCCTGGTATTTTATCACCGCAACAGAAAAAAATGACTAACATGGTCAGTTAGCATCAAGCCAGGCGGAATGTGCTGTAACCAGCCCTCGGCAAAAGCAACAGAAGCCTCACCCTTTGATACAGTCAGAAAGGATGCTCATTTACGCTCACATGATTGTGTTTAGCTAAAATGTTCAGCCCATTCCCTCAAGTAGGAAGCTCCAAGCAGTAACCAAGCTCCTGACATTCACAAAGCCCTGGGTTTGGTCCCAGCATCACATAAAACTCGATACGATGGAACCTGTCTGTAATCCCAGCACTTGAGATGGAGAGGTAGGAGGACCAGACCTTCAAGGGCATCCTCAGCTATATCCTAGGGAATTAAAGGCAAATCTGGGCTAGAGACACACTCTCAGAAAATAAGGGCTAGAAGGAGTCCGGGGGGGGGGGGCGGCAGGGTACTGCGATTTAGAACTGCCAAGAGGTTTGTTTAGATTTTTAAGGGTTTGTATATACTGTAGAGAGACAGAAAGTATTCTGAAGGACACGCTGAAGGAAGAGGAGGAAAGATTTCTTTCTCTTTTGGCACCAGGTAAAATTTTCATTGACTTTTTTTGTTTCTTGAAGAAGATTGTGTTTACCCTTACAATCTGCTTCAGTGGGGTTCTAAGTGTCTGTGCAGATGGGCTGGGGAAATGGTTCAGTGTGTAAGGTGCTTGCCGGGCAAGCATGCGATCTTACAAAGAGTTGGGCACAGTGGAGCACACTTGTTACCCAGCGCTGGGGAGGCAGAGACAAGAGGGCTGCCTGGGGTGGGTGGGCCAGCAGGGCGGCCAGGTAAGGAACTTCAGTTTCACTGAGAGACCCTGCCTCGAAAAGTAAGGGAGAGTGACTAAGGACGACACCCACCGCTGACCTCCGCAAGCCTCCACACAGGCACACACCCTCACACCGCAAGAGTCTGGAGACTTTGCCCTGAAGCCGAGAACAGACTCCCCTGTCCTCAGGAAAACCTTTGAGACTCACTCTCATGGGAGAACAGATTGACTTTCTAGGGTTCTGAGAGCTGAGACTTTGGTTTAGATGAACCACTTCCCTGTATTATGTGACTGGGGTTACTGGATTGGAATGAAGAACTAAGACACCGTTGACATAAAAGATTGGTCCCTCTCTTTCACTTGGAGGCTGACATTGGAGGATGTACAGTGTGGTGCTTCCCTGTGGTGGCTACCATGGTATCTACAGTCCCGTGCTCACACCAAGTGCTCTTTGCCGGGCTTTCAGGGTGCTTGCCTAACTATTCGGGAAGCATGAGTTTGATCTCCAGCTCTGCATACACACAATCCTAGCATCCAGGAGATGGAGGTAGGATGGTCAGAAGTTCAAAGTCATCCCCGGCTACATAATGAGTTTGGGGTCAGGATGGGACTTTACCTCAAAAAAAAAAATCTTCTACAGTTTGGGGTGTCAGTGTTGCTTGCCCACGGGCCCCTGTGTGGCCTCTGTCCCTGGGGTGGAACTAGAGAAAGCAGTGGCTTTCAGGAAGTGGGACCTAGTCAGAGGTCTTTGGTCAGAAGGATGTGACCTCAGAGGAGTGCTGGGCACTGATCCCTTTCTCTTTGTCCCAGGACTCATTAGCCAGGAAGTTTAGCTCCACTAGGCACTCTCAACACCCTGAGCGTGGTGGCTGCTCCGGCACAGGCTCAAAGCAATGGGAAGCCAGTCATGGACCCGAACCCTCCAGACGATGAGCAAATCAACCGTTTTCTCTTTTTGCGTGCATTAGCTGCTGCATTTACTGCAGTAGTGAAAGCTGAATAATAAGAGATTTTTATGTCACTTCAAGCTGTCCTGTAGGATGCAGTAGACATTGACTTCTGTTTGTCTAAATGGCAGCCTGGGGGAGTGTTAGCTGATTATTAGAGATGGCCTCGACCAGGTGTGGGAATCCACATCTGTAAACCCAGCACTGGGGAAACTGAGGCAGGAGGTTTGTGAGTTCAAAGCCAGCCTGGGCTATATAGTAAGCCGCTGCCTCAATCCTCAGAGGATTAAAAAAATATTGCCTACTTTGTCATTGCTCAAGGCGCATGACTTATATCTTTATACTCCAGAGAGAGTAGTTTCTGGGTTGGAGGGGAAGGAGGGAGGTTGCCGCTGCCTCCAGGCCAGTGGCTGGGGTCCCTCCCCCTCTCTCCTCCCTGCCAGCTCTGTGCTCCCCCATCGCCTCCCTGCTATTCCCAGCGGGTGGAGTCTCGAGCCCGCGTCCAGTCCTTATCAATAGGCACGGGCAGGTTAACACTCGAGCCGCCTCCTTCAGGGAGCAGCAGTCCCTAGCCTAGCCGTGGACCTGGTCGGATTGGATAGGTTCAGCCATGGTTTCTCTGGGCCTGGGGGTCGCTCAGGGTCCTGGACGCCGTGCGGGACGCTGAGCGAGTCACAAAATAGACACCGAGCTCCCGAGTGGCCAGAACGCAAAGGCGAACTGCAATCGGCGAGCATGCCAGGCACCGTGAGCCCCTGGCCGTCATCGTGGGGGCCACGGTCGCTGCTTCTGTTGCTGCTGCTGCTGCTGCTAGCCGGAGCAACGCACACAGTGAGTACCGCGCCCCTCCAGGACATGGACCCGAGGGACCAGCCCGCATTCCTCTACTGGGTCCTAGGAATTATGAGGAGTAGCCGATCTCCCCTCCCTCAACAATAATACCGTTCACTCTGTCGGAGTCTCCTTCGGAGTCCCCTTCTCCGAAGGCAAAAACGTCCTGGGCTCTGTGTCCCAGGTGAGGCAGAGCCAGGCTTGAGTCCCCTCGCCCTTCACTCATCCCTTCCCGCTGCCCGCTGAGCTCACTTCTTTCCAGGAGACAGTTCTGCAGCGGCCCCAGCAATGTCAAGTACGCTGGACACTTGCTCTCTAGTGTTTCATCAAAACCCCCTCTTCCCCTTTTGAGACCCCGGTCACTCAGGCTTCACAAGCAAAGAGACCCAGGCTCAGAAAGGGGGCGGGAGAGGCTTATCCCACATCGGAAAAAAGTCAGAACCCACATTCTTCAGGCTAGCTAGAGCCTGGACGGTTTTACACACTCCGGTTGCAGATGGGAAATTTCAGAAAGCTATGAGTCGAGTTTTTGCGTCTGTGGTGGGACCATTTGTCCCGTCCCGTGCCCCCCCCCAGCCCGCCTAGAGGGACTGGCTTTCTAAAGTCTGTGCCTGTGGGCTCCTGGGAGCAGTGGGTCGCAACAAACTCGAGGCAGGAGAAGGAGAAAGTTGGAGGAGAGAGAAGCCAGGGGATAGTTTGTGTTTCTTTCCCATAGAAACTCCTGGGAACTTTGGGCGGCTTCCCCTGGGATATCCGAATGAGAGACAGGCTGGAATTGAGGCTGGCGGGGATGGAAGGAACTGGAGAGAAGGTCAAGGCTGCCCGGTTGAGGACTCCAGGGTTTCTCCTCTGGACAAGCTCCGCAAAGTGCCCCACCCCCCAGGTCGGGGTTCTAAGAAACTACAGATCCTGAGACTCCGGTCTTGGTCAACGACTTAGTTTTCCCCATTTCCTGAGGCATTCTGTGCAGCTCCAGGGCTGCAGAAACAGTCCGCTCACTTTCTTTATGGTCTGGAAGGGATACTCCAGGTTATCTCAAATCTTCACTGCACCTCGGAACGCTGCTTGTGTATAGTTTATTCAAGTCCTTAATTTTACAGATCAAAAGCCCTCAGAGAGGGACTTGCTTGAGTTCAGCATGTCAGGAGCGGGGCTGGGTCTAGGGCCCAGATCTCTAGATTCTTAACTTGGGGTTGGGAGTGGGGGATCCCGCCAGTCTGAGGTTTGTTCTGTCCCATGTGCCCCTTGTATTTGCACGTTATTTACACACACATATGCACCGTGTGTCTCTAGGAGAAGGGTTCACGTGGGCCTCTGTTGCGTGGGCTTATCCTGACCGTGCGTCTATCTCTTAGTGTTTGCGGCAGAAACCGCCTTTAATAAATGAGGGTGGAATTGACCTACTTTGTTTGGACAGTCTCCCAGCTTCTGCAACCTTTTCCTTTGGCTTGTTTGACTCTGGGTGGCCAGACATGGGATCTTGAAATTCAAGGATAACAATGTCTTCCTTCCTTTTGGATTTCCCTCAGAGGGACATCATGGGTCTCTTCCAAAGAGACCACTGGGGCTGAAGTGCTTGTCCCTGTCTCCCTTCCTGGCCCCTTCCTTCAGGGGAGGTACCAGAAGAGTCCTTTGCAAGGAGAAACTGAGAATTATTGACCGCTGAAGGGGGCCGCCTTTCGTTTTGTTTTTCCATAAGAAACGGAGCACACCACCTTCTCTCCCACCTTGCTCCATAAGCTCATGAGGGCTTTCACCTGGGACGATAACACCTCCCCCCCTCCCCCCCGCCACTGTCCCACAAGACTCATACTGTAGCTTGAGCAGTGAGCTTTGTCTTTTCCAGTTTTACCCCTAGGACCTGCCTCAGGGTAAGAGAGAACTCAGTGGGTGTGTGTTCAGTGAATGATGGTGAAGGATGAAATGACTTTGGTTAACAGCAGAGTGTCTCTTGTGTGTACGGATGGGTGTGCATGTTTGTGTGTGCAGGTGCATGTGTGTGGATGTGGAAGCCAGAGAGACACTTCTGGCTTTTATCCCTCAGGTGCGCCCACCTTGTTTTTTGAGGCAAGGTCTCTCCCTGGCCCGGGACTCACCAAGGGAACCAGGCTGGCTGGTCAGTGAACCCCGGGCACCCTCCTGCCTCCACTTCCCAACACTGGTTAGTTTGGTTGCTTTATGTCAGCTTGCCACAAATTATGATCATCAGGCATGCACACAGTGCACAGACCATACATATAAAAAGCTTTTAAAGATTATTATGCTCTCTATACTAGTTCTGCTGTTTCTTATTGAAATATTTTATCAATGTGTTTTGATCATATCTACTCCCTACTTATTCTAACTTCTCCCAGACCCCTCTCCACCTCCTCCCAAATTTCTCTTCTCCTCTCTCTCTCTCTCTCTCTCTCTCTCTCTCTCTCTCTCTCTCTCTCAGTCCAATAACACACTGAGTGTAATTTATGCTGCCCATATACTCATGGGTATGGGATAATCCACTGGTGCATGGGGAACCTACCAGGGTGCACATCTCTGAAGAAAACTGATCCCCGTATCAGTGACTACCTGCCAGTAGCTCCTCAGCTGCAGGTGGCGTCTCATAAATCCCTCCCCATCCATGCTGGGATGGTGACCAGCTTGATTGGTTTAGGCAATCACAGCTGCAGTGAGTTCATATGTCTGATTGCCCTGGCATATCAGGCAATCACTGCCTTGTAGCAGGCCTCTGTAACTTCTGGTTCTTGTCACCTTTGTGCTTCGTGATTCAACCAGGGTTTCTTAGCTTTGACACATTTTTTTTTGAGACAGATCTCATGTAGCCCAGGATAGCCTCCAATTCCCTATGTAACTAAGGATGATCTTGAACTTCTGATTCTCTTGCCTCTACCTATGGAGTACAGGTGTGTGCCACCATGCCAAGTTTATGCTGTGCAGGGGGATTAGAACCCAGGGCTTCATGCATATGAGCAAGCATTGTACCAAATGAGCCACATCCCCAACTTTGAGACTATTGACATAGGGACCAGACATAGCAGTGCTATGCGTTGTATGAGTTCCAGCAGCGTCTCTGACCTCTCTAGATTAGAGGCCGGGAATATCTCTGCAAAGCTGTGACAGCAGAATGTCTGTCAAATGCTCTATGACTACAAGGGAGGACATGGCCCTGTGTGACAACTTCTGCCTTGAGAGCAGTCATGGTTCCGAGGGTACATCAACAGGACTGAAGTAGGTGTTTGCTGCGCATTGGATTTGAGGCACCGAGACTGATGGTAGAGAATCCAAGTCCAGTGGTGGAAACAGGCTGTTGGGACTTGGATCTTGTGTGTGTGGAGGTCAGAGGTCATCTTGGGTGTCTTTCCTCAGGACCCTGGCCAGCTTGGATTTGGGAGACAGGGTCTCTCACTGGATTTTGAAACTTGTTGATTTGGCTGGCTGAGTAGCTTAAAACCCCCAGGGACCTGCCTGCTCCTACTTTCTAGCACTGACATTTTATGTATCTGTCACTAGGCTGTCTTTTTAATGTGGGTTCTAGGGACTTGAACTCAGGTTGTTGTGCTTAGAATGCAGTCACTTTAACCAAGTGAGCCATCTCCCCGACCCTGTGGTTTAGATCTTGTATACTCTCCGAAGGGATGATGAAGGCTTGGTGTCCAGTCATAGACTAGAGAGTGATGAGAGGAAGTCAGGGGACATGTGACCCTGGCCCTTCCTCTACCTCTGTCTGTTTCTTGGCTGTCCTGAAGTGAGCAGCGTCCTCTACCACATGCTCTCACCATGATATACTCTGCTGCCGCAGGCCCAAAACACATGGTCCCAAATGAAACTCTAAGAAAAGTAAACCTCGCCTCCTTAGTTGGTTTCTCTGGTGCTTCGTCACAGCAGTGGGAAGGAAGCTAACACGCGAGTGTACAGAATCACAGCCTAGTTCCAAACCGGAGCGAGTCTCTGCAGAGAACGCATCCTTTGTCTTCCCTCTCCAGCCTTTGCGTGTTCTCCTTCTTGACCCCTCCCCACCCTCCTTAGCTGATGCCCCTGGAAACAGAAACTCTCCAACTGCAGAGCCTGGACAGACGCTGGGCCATCCTCCCAGCACCCCCGCTGGTCTGAACGGCCCAGAATGACTTTCCAAGACTAAAGTTCTGCCATTGTGGTGGCCCCTTCTGGTGTCTCTTCAATGGACCCCAGTCTCTCTTCTGCCAAGGACGCTGACCTTCACCAGGCTCTGAGGTACCTTGCAGGCCAAGGCAAACCCACAACACTCAGATCCTATCTACTTGCTTATAATAAATAGAAGGCTGCTTAGTATTGTGAGGACTTGAAAAAAGGAGACTGTCCTGGGGCTGCCGGCTTCAGCAGACCGCTCTGACAGATGAACTCTAACGGGGTGGGCAGACCTGGTCAATTGTGCCTGCAACCCAGACCATTCTGTCCCTTACATGAGTCTCTCAGGATCAGGACCTAGCCCACAACCTCAGTTTACCCCAAGGACTCTATCTGGAGCCCCCACGTCGTTCCCCTCAGCCACAGCTCTCAGAGGCCCTCTCATGTGACCTGTCTGTTTGAATTCCTGGCCCCCTGATTCACACTCTCGTTCCTAGCTGATGCATTTGCCTGTCATTTCCAGAGAGTCGAGACTACCTCCTCTGATGGATGTGTCTACAGTGAAGCCTCTGCTTCCTCCTTCCTGTTCATCTAGGCCAGCCAGACCCCCTAACACAACCCATATTCTCGGGGCTGGGGCGGTGGTTCTGTTGGGAAAGTGCTTGTCTAGGCATCACAAGGACCTAAGTTTGATTCCCAGATCCCCGTGTTTTAAAAAGTCAGATGTAGCTCGTGCTTATAATGTCAGCTCTGGAAAGGTAGAGACTAGAGTCCCCTGTGGCCCTCTGGACAGCCAGCCTAGCCTACTTGTTAAGTTCCAGGCCAGTGAGAGGACCCCCCCCTCCAAAAAAAAAAAAAAAACAAGAGATGAAGAGAGAGAAAACCAAAAACAAGATACA